CTGTTAAGCTTCTTAAAAAAAAATTATAAAATAAGAATCTAAAGTTAATCAAGGAGTGAGCATTGAAAAATATTAAAAAATTTTTTTACCTCAATGACCAATGCAACAAATAAATTAATGCAAATAACAACAGATGTAAGCCACCATAATACAAAATAAAACTGTGTGTATCTAAACATAGAAGAAAATTTAAAAACATTTGTTGCTGTTTTAATAAAAATTTATAACTTATTAAAATTTTTATGTTATGTACTTTTAAATATCACAGGTTAAACTTTTTTTTTCATGCTTATATCCATTTTAAAGCTTATTTAACTCTCTATAAGTTAACTTACTTATTTCTAGATAATAAAAGTTAAGAAAAAAAAAAAGATGTCCAAGCAAAAAAAAAAATAAGAAAACAGTTCTACCAGTTCTATTTGAATAATAAACTGTCATCCTTGACATAGAGTCTTACTTCACTCAACAATTAACAAAATCAGCACTTAATTCTCTAGGGACAGATACAAGACACCACAGAGCATTAAATATTGCGAAAAGCAAAAGTTTGAACCTAAGCTGCTTGTCTGGCTGGTTGCTTCTGACAAAGGTATTTCCATGCCGTTTTTTGTCCCCAATGGCCTTGCAGTCAATAAAGCCATCTACAAAATGAATTGTATTGAGGGAAAATTAGTGTCGTTCACCGACGCTCATCATGCTAATGGCAATTATATTTTTTGGCTAGACTTGGCCTAATCGCATAATGCCAAAACTATGATTGATTGCCCATAACATTAACTTTGTCAAAAAAAGTTGATAATCTGCCAATCCTACTAGAGTGAGGCCCAATTGAAAACTTTTGGGCTATTTTGAAAGACAAAGTGTATTAGGGTAACTGGCAAGCAAAAGACATTACAAACCAGAATAAAGCTTTGTCTGAAAAAAAAAGATCTTAACCATGTATTTTTACTTTTAGGATCAACTCATCTTAGAGTTAGCTGTATCTGAAGAAACAGACTGGTTGAAGACAAACAAAATTAAAATAAATAATTAAAAACACTATTTAATGACATTTTTATTTAATCTCCATCATAAAAACTATGTTGTAATAGCCCTTGAAAGTAAGTCTGGATTTTTGGTAACCATCTATTATTAACTTTTAATAATCATTTACATTTTAACTCTCAGGAAACACCTTCCTTATCAGACACTCAATACAAAGAGTTGTCAGTTTCAAACCTAAATGTTTTTCAGGTTTTAAAATGACAAAATCTGACTGTTATTGAATATTAAATAAGGAAGTAAAAATACCGTTTAAAAAAAATTAAAAAATTTTATAAAATTATAAAAACATTTAAAAAAAAAAAGAAAGTGAGATTGCCTTGAGAGGACAAAACTTTAATGTGCAATTACGATATTTTCAAAACTTTTTTATGTACAATCATCTTATCCCATGAAAACAGCCTACATCATGAAAACAGCTTGTTTTCTTTTTCATAAATTACTATGGTAAAATATCCAGTGCTCCCTAAGCCCTTTACTAAAATATCTTCTAAAAAGCGTGACCTGACTAATTCCAATAAAATGATAATGAGTATGATAATAAAATGAATGATAGCTTAAACAGCAACAATCTTTTTCAAAAAGGTTTTGGACATAATTTTTCCATGACTTTCAATAAAAATTTAGGAATACCATAATTTTTTCCATGACCAAATAAAATTTTATGTCATTCAATGATTTTCATGGCACACTTCTATATCATGAAAACAGCAAACATCATGGAGTCAGTGATATACCATGAAAAGAATCATCGTGGACTGTAAACAATTTTAATAATTTAATTTTAAAGCTCTATACCAATTTAATTACCTGTTTTTCATTGAAGTACTATATGCGTTGAGAAAAATATACCAGTTGTTGACAACCATCACATCCCATAGTACAACTAAGGAAGCCTAAACAGAAATGCAGTGTAAAGTATTTTTAAAATTTTATTTAATGAAGAAATTAAAAAAAGTTATTTTAAAGAAATATTTATTTATTTATATTTTGTCTATATATATATATATATATATATATATATATATATATATATATATATATATATATATATATATATATATATATATATATATATATATATATATAGAGAGAGAGAGAGAGAGAGAGAGAGAGAGAGAAAAGAAATTTTTTGTATAAAATAAAATTGAAACAACTTTTTACCGCAAAATCATCAAAATTATTAGCATAGTAGTCTAGCTGTTCGTAACCGCAGGTGATATTTGGATTAGTTATTCTAAAAGTTATATATTAAAAAATACTCAAAAATTTTTTTGATTTTTAATATTAGAAAATCTGATAGAACAGAAAAAGTTTATATTTTGTTGTAAAAAATTTATATTAAATTAAAACTTCTAAATTTAAACTAACACATTAAATACTTTTAAATAATTAACTACTAAATAATTTTCTCTAAACTTTATATAACAATTGTATTATTTCCTAAACATTAAATTTTTACATTTTAATGTTTGACAAGAAAATATAACATAAAAAATTACGATGGATAAAAAGACAATCACAGAAGTTACACATGAAATAAAGTGCGATACAATGGTAATTAACAACTTATTATTTATTATTTGCAACTATATCAAAATACCACTATATATTTAAGTTAAAATTTAATAAAACAACTTTTATTGAAATGTTTCTTTTAAATTTATTGTAACAAATATTTATACATTATTTGAGTATTTCTGGAAGAAATAATGTTTAAATTCACAAGTGAATTTAATACTTAAAATTATATTATGTATAAAAAAATTTCTATTAAAATAATAATCCATTAAAAAAATAAAAAAACCTATATGTGTTTAGAGTTGCATTTACTAGAGTAGGTTTTGGACTTTTGTCTTGGAATATCATCATCCCAATCAAAGCGAAAACATAATATATTACCTAAATGATTAACAACTTTTTTTAAAAAGTGGATAAAAGAAAAATTAACAGTTAAGCTTGTTAGAAGTAGTTTAATATTTAAAAAAATAACATAAAATAATAATTTACCAGTAAAAATAAACATGAAGTTTTTTAACTGTTAACTGACACTTTACAAAGCCAACATTATTATAAAAAAATAATGTGCAGGGAACTAATAGTTGATGAAATAAAAAACAACAGATTCATAGTAAAAACAATAAATCAAAAACTTGAGCAATTTAAAACAAAACTCACTATAACAATACCAGCAAAGGATTTCAAATTTTTCGCCAGATCTACCATTGCTCTAGCAACCACAGAAAGTGGCTAAAAATTTAAAAACTATATTTTAAAAAAGCTAAAATTTAAAAGCCATATTTTATAAAATTTAAAAGCTATATCTTATAAAAGAACAACAAAATACAGTAAATTATTAAAACAATTAAAAAAAAATTAATATAAGAAAAATATAGATTATTAGGAATAAATACCTAATAAATATAAATACCTTAATGCTGGGTATGATTCTAAGAATTCGAACAATTATCAGCATATTGGTGATACGAAGTAAATTATATACTGACAAAAATTTTAGGTCATTACTACGTATAACTATCTCTTCTCTGCAAAAAAAAAGTATTATACTTATTATCATTAACTGTATTTAAATTATTATCATTAAGGATACTTTATTAAAGATATTTAATATAAAAGTATAAAAGTAGTTAAGCCTTTATAACTTTATTAAATAAAATGTGGCAATAGACTAGCGATCAAATCAAGACGTTCCAGATTCAAATCTAGGTCTCTGGAAATACATTACTAAACCTGTGGCAGCAGCATAACAAGGTTTGTGTTTGGAGTTTAAGGTTGAGAGGGAGTTGACGTTGAAATAAAAAAAGAGAGCATCCTCCTTAACTGTAGCGGTCTCTGGAGCTTTAGGGAGGTGAATTAAAAAAAAAAAAATTGTGTTTACAACATTTTTATGAAACATAGAAAAAGTTGATTTCATTCATAAATACACACAGCCTTTTCAAATAATTATATTTCTCATTATGTCTTTGTCAATTTTTTTTTTTTTTTACTAAGTAAGGAAATAAAAACAATATAAAAACAAATCATTTATTATTTCATCAAACTACTAATTTTTGAAACATAGCAGAAATATATGATAGCTATAAAAACAGATATATAATAAACAAATTCCAAAAATACTAGATGATAAATTTGAAAACAAAATTTTGTGACAATTTTAAAATTAAATATAAAATACATGATTTTACACTTAGGTCGCTTGGACAAGATTCTAATATGAAATTTTTAAAATTCAATTAAGTATGGTATTAGAGATAAAATAAAGCAATTTTTCACAAAATAATTTGCTTTAATTTGCATTAACCTGATTTTCAGAAAATAAACTATAAATAAAAGTAATTATAAATTTTCTGGATTTTAGACAACTTAAACATTATTTTAACAAACATGATTAATAATTATAACTTACTTTGTCATATAAGGAATTGGTCCGCCATATAATGATATAAATGTTATCTCCACTAGCTACAAAACAATAGCATATATGTTATAATATATCTCCAATAGTTGCAAACTAAATATTTTTATAACTTGATTTAAGATTTTATTAAAAAAAAAAAAAATCTTCTTACAACAAGAGCCCACGTTATAACACTATCAAACCAAACAGTCTAAAAAAAAACTTTTTTTTTTGTCAAATGTTTCATAAAGCAATTATTTTTTTCAAGTTTGTTTATAAGTTTAAGTGTCAATTAAAACAAACAGCAACCAGTAATAAAAACAAAAAGTAAAAGCCATTATTATTTACATTAAAAATTAAAAGATTCACTAAAATACAATATATATTATTCAATATAATATCTATTTCCACAATTTTACCAATGGTGAAATAGCTAACATTTGGGTTTTAGTACTTTTTATAAATTCAACACATAATAAAATTTTGGTTGAAAAGCATATCGAAATTTTTTTTGTATGATTTTAAATTTTTATTTAGTTTAGAAAATTAGTTGTTTTTTTTACTATTTTCAAAAATTATTTTACAAAATATTTTACTTATTAAAATTAAATTATAAGACCATTTAGGGTGTAAATGGAGATATAAATATTATGTCCACTAACTTCAATTGGGAAAAGAAAAAAGGACTTTTTGAATTAATAAGTTAATTCTAAAAAAAACGATGCTGTCAGCATTAAAAAGTTCTAGTTCATTTCATCATTGATATAAGAGTTTTAGAAAACAAAATATATATTTTGTGTATTTGAATATTTTGATCAATAAAATATTTATATACAGTCTAAAAGACCTTTTTTTAGTGCTTCAGTGGCAATACAAAGAAGAGCTTCAACTGTTGCTTGCTTTAGTAGGTTATGCAGACAGGCCTTCAGAAGTTTTATACTAAAAAAAAACAACCCTTTTTTGCAGGCAGCACTAAGTAGTCAAATAGTTTGGGTACATAACTGACCATTCTCACCATTCTACCATTGTAACATCTGTATTAACATCATCTTTCTGAAAAGATCTTTCTCTTTTGAACTCATCTTTTTAATCTGTACATAATAAGAGTATAGATTTCCTTTGCACCATACAAATAAATCTCGTTCTCTGCTTTAAGTAAATTCCATGAATCAAAAACTACAAACTTAAGCCAACTCTCAAGCTGATCAAAAGCGCCATCGAGTTTAATTTTGAAGGTAGATGAACTTTTTATATGTACTTTTCATACACTTCCCATATGAAGATTCTTTTGTTAGATTAGCACCAATGGTAAGTGTAGCAGTTTAGAAAGATTAGCACCAATGGGAAGTGTAGCAGTTTGTTCTGAACCAATTTGTATTAACTTGTTAAACTTTTTTTTTACAAATTATGGGCAGTCCCCAGCAAGAAGTTTATCAAGAACTGATTTATTAGTATCAACATAGGTTTTCACATGTAACAAGCAAAAAAAAAAAAAATGTTGTTAAAAACCTTTTTGAGACAAGGGCAGTAAAACCATGACTTCATATTCACATTTTTCATTCCGGCTGACCAAAAGAGCAGCTAATTATATGTGGATTTATTTTTTGGAGAAAAATGCAAACCAGTGGCTGATAATGAAAAAACTTCTAAACAGTTGAAACAGCACCCTTTATAGCAGAAAAGTCTCTAAGCAAATGTTTAAAGCTAAAGACAAGTTTATGGTTCCCACATTTGATCCAGACTGAAATTGGAATAGTATGTTTAGAAAGATGTTTTAATCTACCATTCTCCCCGAAACTAATGTTGGTATTTTCCAAGCAGGAAAACTAACAGTTAGCAATTTTAAAAGAATTCATTCAGTACTTTCATGATGTTTACTAAGTGTTGTTCCCAGTCTTTTATAAAATGAGTTGTCATACCATAATATGTCATGTCATATCATAGCATAATTTGAAAAAACAACAACAGATAAATGTGTTATTATAAATAATGTTATTTACTTAAAACACCAAGAAATCAATATATACATACAATATATATATATACAATCAATATATAGATAAAGAAATATTTTTAGAAATATATTCTATCTTCAAATAAATCTCTTTAGTCTGAGATAAGCAATAGGAGCAACAACAACTTAGTCATCATTTTTAACTTATAAAAGTCTTTAAACTCCACTGGAATGTTAGGTTGTAGTTTTATGTCTACCATATTTTCAATCTTTATTGGTACTTTTCGTGCAGGGTAAGTTTCTTTACTTGCTCTAAAGGAAAAGCTATGATTTATTATAGAATGGATGAAAGTAGGCCAATAACCAAAGATGGAAATTTTATATCATATGTGCAGTGCATGAAGTTGCTTATTGAAAAGTACTACTTTTTGTTCTTTTTAACTTGCTTACCTTTGGTTACATCGGAAACACAACTTTTTTTGTAAAAGTGCAGTCACCACGCTGTGAAGTCTAAAATTTCCAAGAACTTAACTTAATGTACCACAAGTTTATCATTTTTATGTCTTAATAAGGTCGCATACTTGGTCTACTGTGTATAGTCTATCGTGTCGGTTTAGTTCTCACTTTATTATGCTAAAATCCCTATCACACAGTAGAAAAAGAAGTGCCCTCTTATTGGGTAGAATTGCTCAACCTTTTCAAATATCTATAAATCAGTCATGGCTAAGAGTAGTCTAGATAATGAATGGTTTTTATTTTGGCCCAAACAATTTTCTGAGAATAAGTGGAGTTCAGTAAACTGCTTCTCTGCTTTATTAAATAGTTAAAAAGAAGGGAACACACTACATCTGGACCTTTGCCTGCTATGCCTTGGTGGAAACAAATGCTTTGTTACTTTTATTGTAATGAACACAAAAAACATTAACTGAAAGTTGCCTTAGATAGAAGGTTTCTTACACTGGTATTATTGGGATCTGTATGTTCTGCATAAAATCAAAACAGAATGATAAAATTTGACTATTGTCCTTGTCATTGACATCTTTTTGGATTCGATCATAAAACTTTTTAGATTTACATCAAGTTCAGATTAAGCACATCTCTTTGCTGCCTCATTGAGACAAGGACTTCTTAATTTTAACTTAACTTTAAGGAAAGATCATAGTTTTCTTTAAAGTAACTGAAAAACTTTGTTTCACCAACAGCAAAGTGCAGAAATACAATAACCTACTATGTCAAAAATTGAATAAAATACAGAAAAAAGACTTTTTCTAAGTTCCATGTTGGCCTTGATGCTTGGCCAAGTTTTCATCAGAGTAATTTAGGTATGACTCATTTTATAAAAGACTGCGAACAAATGAGGTTCTGCTTGTCATGTTCCAAGTTTAAACTATGTCATACATCAGCAAACATTCATCAAAAGATTCATGAAACAACCAAAGACTGGGACATTACTTCAAGAACTAATGTTTGTTTGAGAGACAATGCTGCTAATATTAAAACAATCTTTAATGAACTAAGGTAGTGTCTATGAATCAGCTCAGAGTCTTAACAATTTTCTTCAACTCATTGTGAAAGAAGTTTTTTCAATGGAATCAGTTGAAGCCCTGGTTGTTAAATGTAAAAAATTTTACACTTATGCATCCCACTCAAATAAGTTTTGAACAAAACTCTAAAAACAGAGAAAGGTTTTATACAGAACTCTGCAAAGAGAAAGAAGTACAGAAGGGGAACGAAAACTAACTTATACTAAAAAATGTTGCAAGAAGTTGAAACTCAACTTTTTACATGCTGCAAAGAATTTTACTTCTTAAACTTGCAATTGTCACAACATTGATAGGAAGAATGGAATATTTGTGAAATAGTGGTAAATTTTAAACTACTTTCTGGAAGTGATTCCTACATCAGTGCTTGCATCCCTATTGTGACATAATAAAGTCACTTGAAGCTACCAGTGAAGACAATAACAAAATAAAAATGAAGAAACTGATTAAATTGCAATGGGAAATCATTTCCAGAGTATGAAATAAGTTAAGCACTATCAAACCACTGAGATTTTTCTAATGAAATGAACAAAACAGGCTTCTCTAAAGTGATGAAAAACATCATTGGCCAATCTCAATCAAACTTTAGACTGACAAAAGAAGTCCTGAATGATTATCTGGATTCTTAATTACCCTGTCTTGATCTCTGAAAGAACTACAAAAACAATTCAACTAGTAAAGTCAAACAAGCTCTTGCTAAAATTGCTAAGAGGTTTCTCACTGAGAATCATAATGAAATTTATAACTTTCCAGTAAGATGTTTGCAGGAATGTCGATAAAGTATTTGCTAAAATGTCAGTTTTAGCTGATAAAAAACTGGAATTTTGGTTTATTTTCATATTGACGTACTTATTGTGTTTTCGGTTAATCACTATTTACCAAAAATATTTCACACCTCTTTATGATAATTCTGTGGTTTAACATCCTTTGATTAAACATCAAGTAATAACTATTTGTAGCATAATAAAAAAACATATATATTTATTTGATACAGATATTTTTTATGTAAAAGCTATTACACTTAATCTTTCCCCCCACAATTTCAAATCAACATAATTAGCTATCTATCTTCTTGAAATGCCTCAGATGTAGCTTTATACAAAACCAGGAATGATGTTTGTATGTTTGAGCAATTTTACATTTTTAGCTTTAAAACCAGGTAGTTCCAATAATAAAATAGAGGGTAAAAAAGGAATTTCTTTTTTTCCACTCCTTACCTCTTGTTTGATTTTATTATAATTTAGCTCAACCATTTTCAATCTTTATTATTTTTGATTTCTTCACAAACATTTTTTGTATTTTATTTAATTTTTTATTTTAAACTTTTATTTAATTAGTAATTTTATCAAAGTAATTTATATTATTTTAATTTTACTTTTTAATTTTAATATTATTATTTATTATTATTATTATTATTATTATTATTATTATTTATTATTATCATTATTATTTAATAACTGGTTTATAGAATATGAAAAAAATCACAAATGTGGCTCAAAGCTAACACATCATAATGACTGATAAATTTTATTGTAATGTCTTAGCTTGATGCAGTTCTTAATTTAAATTAAAACATAAAATATTAAATTTACCTTGTGAGAAAAATATCTTTTTGCGCCAATAAAATAAATCATCAAAACCTGAAGAAAATATATTGATGTTAAATCAAAATATTCAAAATTTGAAAAAAAAAAAAACACATACACACAAAACACTTAATTACATAAATGAACAATTGAATAAACTAAACAAAATCGAATTGAATAAACAAAATAATCCACCTGTTCAATAGCAAAATATGAGATAAAACAAAAGTTGAGGATCTAAAATGAATAAAAATTAAGACCAATAAAATAAAAACATTAAAAAATATATATTAAAACCATAAAATAACAATAAAAACCCAATATCTTCTTATAAGTAAGGATGTTAAAAAGAAAAGCCAGTAGGAATTGTAAACATCATTCCGGCAATATTGCTTTTGCTGAGAGAATGGAATGGTATTTGTAATATACCCACCACACTGCACACACCAAGTATAACCTCTTGATGTTGGGTTATATGGGCCAAGGGAATTGAAAATTATTATAAACGATTGGACGTTAAGTAATCCTTGTAAAACTATAACCATTTTTAATTTGCCTGCTTTAATTAACACATTATATTTAGGAACATTTTCATTAAAAAATATTATATCTGCATTTGCCAACACTGGTAATTGGCCTTTTTGTAGATCAATTTTTTCTGAAACTGATTTTGAACCAATCAATATGGATTAACCTGATACCAATACAATGATAAGAGATAAACCTCCTATCATAGTTGTTACAACAGAAAGAAGCAGAAGGAAAGGAGCAGAACCATAAGAAGCTGCTGTAAATAATAATACACTAAGAGGAATATCAAAAACTTCATTTACTCCAGAAATGATTTATCTGTATCCAAAAGCTGCAGGGTGTAAGTAAACTAGTATGGGAAATCTAGAATACTCACAGATATTACTGAAAAAAAAAGACTGAAAAAAAGAGCAAAAATTGAAGCACCTACCTAGCACAAACATTGTGTGCAAACACAATCGCAAAAAAAAAAAAAAATTAAACAATGCAGATTAGTTTATTACCAGGTTGTAATGGAAACAATGATGAATTTTTGTATGAAGAGTTTAACATAGCTGAACATTGATTTGAAGAGTTTTGCTATAGTAAAATTTTCAACAAAAAAAGTATTCTATTATATCAGGCAAATAGACAGCATTCTTGATAATAATTCTCCATAGATTTTATGGAAAAAGTATCATTTATGAAATTTATTTTTCTTAAAGTTTCTAATATTGTCATTTCCAGCATTGTCAGTTTAAATGACATTATTGGTTCCTAATTCAAGAATTCATCATTGATATAATAATATAAAAAAATAACTTGTAGAAAATACTTACCTTGAATTGTTTTTTTTTTTGTCATATTTAAATTTTGTTAATGTATTTATAAAATATTTTGTTGGTTTTAAATTGTGTTTTATTTTTCATTAAAATTACATTTTTTTTAAATGGAACTTGTTATTGTATTAAAGTAAACACGTTATTGATGTATTAACATTTTGATGATATTTTTTATATTTTGTTGATATATTTATGAAATATTTTGTTAGTTTTAAAATGCGTTTTATTTTCCATTACAATTACATTTATTTTTAATGAAATTTGTTACTGTATTAATGTAAACTCAATGTGCACCAATGCTCCCCATGTGAGGGATCATTGGTACAAAAAACTACATTAAGAAAATTTGAAAGTATTTTACTTAATCATTAATATTACATAAACATAATTTCTAAACATGTTTCTTAAAACGTTGCAAATACATTTAAAAATATTGTAAAATAATTGTTTTTGATTTTTTCTGAAAATTCTCTTTTTTTTCTTGTCAAAATGTACCAATGCTACCCACTCTCCCTTACTTGCAGAAAAAATAATTAATTGAATATCGATTATCTTTATATATTGCATTTTTATTTTTAGTTTATAATAATACAAAAATTTTCAAAAATTTATAAAAATCTACTTTTACTAATCTAGCTTAAATCTGGTTGTTTTAACAGTCATCTTACTCTGCACCTTACTTTTTATATTATGGAAACCTCTTAAATTGTTTATGGAAAACTGTAGAAATATATGAAGGAACTAGTCTAAAAAAGTATAAAAAAACTTATATCATGCATTTTCATTAGCAGTCCATTAGCTGATGTATTACTTGTCTACTATGTATAATCTATTATGTATTATGTCTAATATCTTGCACATACGAGATATTATACAACTATTATATTTATAAATACATATACTTCTAATTTATTGTTAGCTTTCATTCCATTAAATCCTTCTTATTAAATACACTGAAATACAGATTTACAAACTAGATATACAAATATACAGACTTATAAAACAAATATGAGATATAGAACATATACAGAAAATAATTAGTAGATATACAGACAATTTACATTGCTTTTAATAAACTTCTAATTAGAAATTTCAATAACAATAACCTATTCATAAATTAATTAATATAACCTAATAACCTATTCAAAAAAAAAAAAAAAATCTTACAGAAAGTTTATCTCCAGAAAATGTTACTTCAATAGATGTTGCTAACTCCACCTTCAATAAAAAATAAATATTGTTAAAATATTCTCAACAAATCACACTATAAATTAATTTTATGGAAAATCTACTAACCGTAACCACCAAAGCATTAAGAACACATATAAAATCGCCAAAATATTGAAAGTAATTATGTAAAAGTATTGATTGCACTTTCAATAACAATGGATGATGGAATTCTCTACAAGGAATCCTCTAAAAAATTTACTTCTATTTTGATAAATATATTTTATGTTATATCATTATTGATAACATAAAAAAACGAAGTTAATATTATGGTTGGTATATTGTGTGTGTGTGTGTGTGTGTGTGTGTGTGTGTGTGTGTGTGTGTGTGTGTGTGTGTGTGTGTGTGTGTCTATATATATATATATATATATATATATATATATATATATATATATATATATATATATATATATATATATATATATATATATATATATATATATATATATATATATATATATATATACATATATATATATATATATCAGTCTTTGGAATTAGAGTTGGTATTTGGCAATGCCAATTTAAATGCTAATTTACCAAAATGTCTGAGGTCAGCGTTTTTTTGCTATCTGTTATCTATGCTATTATGGTGAAACCTTTGTGTATGGTGAAACCTTTGTGAAATTTTGTGCTGACCTGATGCAGACCAAAAATATAGTTTTACAAAATTTTTGCCTACTGTAAATTTTTTTATAGCTAATTAATTATCTTGGCTAATTCTAAAAATATAATAACAATTTTTTCTGAATCATCAACCATTATCGAAGTTATATTATTTTTTACTGGCAATCGAGCAACCATACATTATCAGTGCCTCACAAGACATTTTATTGATGTTTGTTTGTGTGCTTCTCTCCCAGCCTAAGGTTGGATGAAGAATTAATCATGCTATAAACCACTATGTTTCCTACAATGTGACACAACAATGAAGAGTTTTTTCTACTGTGCATCACATCTCAGGAAATGTGCTATAATACTTGGAGTTACATGATTTGTTACAAAATCTTTTCACCTTTAGGTTAATTACTGAGTTATGTTTACCTTATAATAGCTATTAGAAGATGTTAAAGTTCTTGAGATTTATTTTGCTGTGTATGTAGATATTATATTTACAAAAAACAGGTTTTACATTAGATCATGAAAGATGGCATATTGTCAATTACATAAACAATATATTTTGTTTAAGCCATATGCTATATGAGTAATGAGAACCAACCATAGGCCTGTGACAGCCTACCAGTACTGCAACCACCACAATATGCAAGTATACTTCTCATCATACTCTAAGTCTCATAAGTCTAAATTCAAAGTATTGACTATGCATTTATTTTTAATGAAGTTTTGGACTGTTATTCATGTCTGTTATTCATGTTAAAATTGCTATATTTTGTTATTTCATTTTTTTTTAAAAGAAGTTGCAACAAACATTTTATCTCATGATTCAGCAAGTAGCAGCAAGAAGCAGTGAAGACAAGTTAGACTTTGTGTATCCCAAAAAGTATTTATTTTTTTCTTTTATTTTCCTGGTTGAAAAGCTGATTATCATCATTACAAAAAAGTTGATTGGAGCCAATCTTGTAATAAAATAAACGCAATTTTAAAACCTTGCAATGAAATTAACACAATGCTAAAGTTAGAGAAAATCAAAAAAATTATGATAAAAGTTTTGAAAAAAGCTTGGTTTGCATTTCGTGAAATGTTTATGGATTTCTAGGAAATCACAAGGCAAATAAAACATAAGCAAAAAAATAAATAAACAATACCTTTTTTATTGAATCTGAAAATACAATATCAAAGAGTTCTTGAAATTGCTTCGCATTAATAACATTTGTATTCAAATTCGTCAAATACTAAAATATATTAATAATGATAACATTTTAAGTTAAATTGATTTTAGTATATAATATATTAATATAATAATACTCAATTAACTATTGAGCCCATTTGGGTTTCTAGGAGTTTGAATATATATGTAGGAGATTTGGTTGATGAAGTTTTATATGTAATAACTGATATCTCATAAATTATTCTTTGATGGATTAGTAACCAATGAAGAGATTTGAGTAATTTTTCTGATTTTTAATGGCGAATGAGAGATTGAGATAATGGCTATTTTGAGTATATTTGAATTTTATAAGATTTTTTAATTTTGGTAAGAACCTGATAAAAAACAATAAAATGAAAATAGTCAAGTTTATAGTTAAAAATGCCATATATATATATATATATATATATATATATATATATATATATATATATATATATATATATATATATATATATATATATATATATATATATATATATATATATATATATATATATATATGTATATATGTATATATTTAAAATTAAAAAATTGTTAAAAAAAAAAAGTAATTATTAAAGGTCTGAAAACTATGCTGATTGTATGAAGCATTAAAACTGAATTTTGTTAGGGGAAAACTTAAAAGAACTATTTATTTAAAAATTTAAATTAGAGATATTTGATAAGAATATTCGGTGAATATATTCAGCATTTGGCTACTTTTTTACTATTCAGTATTTGGTAGAATATTACAAACTATTTGGCCAAATACTAGATTGCAACAACAACAACAACAACAATAAAAATACATCAAAACAGATTTCAAATAACCATTTTTATCTATTTTTCATTTTAACAAATAATTGGCATATTTAATACTTAAATCTATAGGAGGTAAGTTATGATAAAACATTTTCATTGATGATAGCAGGTGGTTGCCTATTTCTTATAAACTATAAATACTTTAAAAAATAGCCATTCACTGCGCACCCTGCCACCAGCAAATAATAATTTTTTTTAGCAAGTTCTGTTAAGATAATGTTTTGCGTTTGGTGACACAACTGCTGTCCAAAGTAAACAGTCTCATGTAAAAACTAAAAAGATTTGCAATTGGATTTTCTTTTCTCACATCTTCATATGTATGCATATTTTTTTTTAGAGATTGATTTAGTTGTTTTCATTTACAATTCTATTTTTTTCATTTTTCATTTTCTTTTTATTTTTAAAAAGGGGAGCTAAATCATCACTGGTACCACTAGTTACCAGTGATGATTCATCGGTGTCAAGCAGCCTTTCACTGAGAAGGATAAACCGTTCACAGAATTAACCTTTCTCAGAACATTTAATTTATTATTTTTCGCTTGCTGTGTTTCAACTAATTACTTGAAAGTAAGTATAGAATGAGAATCAATAAAAAAAAGGTTACTGAATAATTGGAATTTCCATTATAGTTAAACCATGCCTTAAGTTCAGGCTGTGTGAAGATATTGTTTTTAATAGGTTTAGAGTTTTTTGTGCTATATCCATTGATAGCAACTTTTTAAAAGTCCTTCAGAAATGCAAGATATACCTGAGTTGGTTATTTTTGTAATCTTTTTGAATGGGTTGAAAAGTATGATTTTTATACATAACTATAACCTAGTCATTAATGAAATAAAACATATACACTTCAATAAAGCAGGTCAGAACTATCAAAGTAACTAAGTGTTGCTGAATGCTCAGTGCTTTGGCCAAGTACCAATAATTTTTGCTAAATACTCACTATTTGATAAAATCACTATTCGTGACATCTCTAATAAAATAATGATAAAAAGAAATTTTTAAAAATATATTATTAGAGGTTTTTATTTTTTTTATAACTATAAGTGGTTTAAATTAGTTTTTTTTTAATTATATTTTTTGTTTTTAAACTCCTGTCTTTAATTTTATATAAATATCTGAGTTAGGGAGTTACAAGCATTTATTTGACTGTTATGATTGATTTATAAGAAAATACTGAATAAGATTAAAATAAGATATAAATATAGTCACAATTTCATTTATTTAAAATATTTGATCATCTCTAAATTTCTTTAGACTGTTGTGATTTGCAGTTGTTTCATTTTTAACAATATATTGTACTGTATGCTTTTTCTAGTTTTACATAATGGTTTTTAAAAAACTTAAAATATTAAATTTTAATTATAATAAAAATAATAATTAATTTTTAATAATAACAATAACAATAATAGTATTAATGGTTTTATAAGATTTTATGTAATAACTTCAAGATCAATATAATTATTTTTTATTGAACTATTGAGTTAAGTGATAAAAACTTGAATGTATGTATGTATGTATGTATGCATGTATGTATGTATGTATGTATGTATGTATGTATGTATGTATGTATGTATGTATGTATGTATGTATGTATGTATGTATGTATGTATCTACTTAAAACATCTTAAATTGACACAAAAAAATTATATAAATATTAAAGATTTACTTAATTGATCAAATTAATTTTTAATTATTTACAACATAATTGATAAATAAATTGATCAAACTAATTACCTCCTCTAGCTTAGGCATGTATCTTAATTTTCTAGAAAAATGTATGTCTTTCAAAATGTCTCGCACAAGTGAAACCTCTATACAGCTGCAACATATAATAATTTGTACATTAATACACTGTTTTTTGCTTATGTAAAATTCTTAAAAACATCAAATTATTGACAGAACGTATAACAGTAATACCTTGGAGTTTCAGAAGAAGAGGGTTGGTAAGAAACTCCAAGTAATACTTCAAAAGCAGCTCTGATTCCACATCTTCTTCTTATAAAACTACTTTGCATTGTTTTCTGAATAACAAAAAAAATTTGCTTTTTTTTTATGACATAGGTACTATTATATATAGGTAATTCAAAAGTTAAGATAAAAAAAACTTTTGTATAGAAATTTTTTGCTTTTTATTTTACATAACATTTTTATTATGAAATGTAAGATATTTATTTAAGTTCTTTACTTTTATTACAAGTTAAAAGTTAAGTTAGAAATTTCTTCATCACAATTTATTAAAAGTTAGCAATTTCTTCATCACAATTTTATTACAAGTTAGAAATTTCTTCATCACAATTTTATTACAAATTAGCAATTTCTTCATCACAATTTTTGCATAATGTATTAAAAAAATTATGTGCTAAAAAATTCACATTTTTAACACATCAATATATAGAACAGAATAGTTTACAGTGAAGGATATTTTATTTCTAACACAACTTACAGTAAAGGAACCTTTGAATTCATTATAAATGACAGCAAGAAGAACATTCATAAAAAAATACATTCCTACAAAGATAAACATAAAATTGTAATAGTCTATTAATAAAACCTTATTAAAATACTTTGATTCAAATGTTTCTACATTTTAAACTAGTGACGAAATCATTAAATATTGAAAACAGTTTAAAGATTGAAAAAATTGAATATATTTTAAAGACAAGTAAATAAAAATAATTTACCTACAGCCAGAAATAAGATAAAAAAAATTGCATAAAATCTATTATCAGAATATGCAGGCATCATCACTAAAAAGTAAAACAAATTTTAATTAAACCACTACCAACTGCTTTTATATTTTATTATCAACTTTGTAAAAAAAAGTTTCACTTTTTAGTAAAATCAAATAATATTTCACTAAAGTAAAACTCATTCCACTACAATGTAGTATTGTAGTGTTTTTAATAAACATACAACTGAAGTTAAGTGATCAATATGTACTTTTTTGTTAATTAAAGCCCTAAGACACAAGGGCTAAGATTAAAGATCTTGACCGGGAAAGGCCTTTTGAAAAGAAACCTGGAATTTTATTATACAGAGCACAGCTTGGAAGTATTCCAGACGTTTTTAATGATCATTTAACTTTAGTTGAATGACTATTAAAATCATCTGGAATACACATTTATAGTACAACCTCTTGTTCAGCAAAAATGCTGAAACAAAAATCAATTTTTTATTTATGTTGACTTATATACAGTTGTATGCAAATCTGAAGTCTATAATAATCAGCATAATCAACAGAATTTGCAATATGTAAAAAAATAAAATAAAAAATAATTAAACAATCCAACTGCTCTAGCAGGTTACATTGTTTTGCTATTAAATATTTTTAAATTCTATTTAGTTTAATTTTCCATTAAACATTAATGCCTTTCCAGAAACATAGACTACCAAGTATATTATACACAATCTAAAAAAAATTGTGAAAAATGAATCCAAAAACATAAAAACTTTAATTAAATCAAAAATAATAAAAGCAATCTAAATGCTACAACGAGGCAACAAAAACTTGCAATCTTTGTCAATGCAAAAGATTCGAAATAGTAACATACACAGAAAAAATCTTTACTTAAAATAAAGAATACATTTGTCTTATTAGAAACTAACAAGTATTTGGTTATTTAAATTATTGCTTTCTTTTGTAACGCCAGAACTTGTTCTACAGTAACATAAGTTCTACCATAACATTTGTTCTACTGTAACATTTGTTCTACTATAACATTTGTTCTAATGTAACATTTGTTTTAATGTAACATTTGTTCTACAGTAACATTTGTTCTAATGTAACATTTGTTTTAAGTTAACATTTGTTCTAATGTAACATTTGTTCTACAGTAACATTTGTTCTAATGTAACATTTGTTCTAATGTAACATTTGTTATACAGTAACATTTGTTCTAATGTAACATTTGTTTTAAGGTAACATTTGCTCTAGTTTTGTAATCTTTTAAATAATCTTTTACATTTTATTAATTAAAAAAAATTTGTTTTGATATCAAAAATATTATAACTGTTTTTCTGTAATTTATATCTAATTTTTATTATTAAATCGTTTATTATTAACTCTAGTTTTTGTTCTAAAAAATTTAATTTTTGGTGATAAATAACACCAAAAATTAAATTTTTATAAAAATTTAATTTTTGAAACAGTACAATTAAAACACAGTATAAAAACTATTCAGAAATGTCTAAAATTAATGTTTTTATTTTATAGAATAAACAAGTATAAATTAAAGAAAAATTTAAGGTGAAAAAAAAATAGTATAATAAAAGTAAAAATTAATGTTTTAATTAATAATTAACGTCCATAAAATGGAAAATAGACATGTGATGTTTCGAATTTCAATTATAGCAGCCTGGTACTATTTTAATACTGATATTAATACTATTTTAATACTATTTTAATACTGATTTTTTTTTTTGGTATCGTTTATCCATTACTATGATATCCTGGTAAAATCTTTTGACTTATTTATCACTGATATGGTCTAGATTTTCAGGAAAACAATCTGATTGTAGAGAAACTTGGATGCTCATGCATATTCTATGGAATCTTAAATTGTCAAGCATGTTTCTTACTAGTTCTTTATAGTTGTCAACTTTGAATTACACAGAAAGTTTTTCATAATCTCTACAAATGAAATGTAGCTACTTTAAAATTGACAGAATAAATCTTCATTAAACAGAATAAATCTTCATTAAACAAAAATTTTGGGTCCATCAGCTTGAAATGCTTTTAATTTCTTATTGCTTAAACCTTTGCAAACGTAATGAAAAAAATTATCCTTTTCATCAAATGCTCTCACAAATTGTTTTATCTAACTTGATTTGGAAAAGAAGAATAAGATTTTATCAATTTTGCAGCTATAAAAATTTTTTAGTTCAGTTTGCACTTTTTTAATCCAATTATTAGCTCTGCTATCGCAGTAAGAAAAAAAAACATGGACAAAAACACGCTAAACACTCTTTCTCCCATGTTTATATAGACAGTAATTTTTGTACCAAGCAGAAAGTTTTTATTATTGAGATAAGATGCCAAAAATTTAGCTGATTTTTTTGTCCTATATTAAAGCACTTGGATGTTACTTATTAATTGTACTAGTCGGGTAGAAATCACATGTAATATTTTCTTCTTTTATTATCTGCAACTTTATCTTTGAAGCAAACTGCTTATTAGAGACTTGTGTAGTTCAAAGAGTTTTCCTTTTTTTAATTTATACAAACTTATCTAATACTCAATAAACAATCACAATATTCAAATCAAACCTTATAATAAACGCAATACATAAATTTTTAAAGCAATATTTATAAATAACTACATAGAGAGTACTAAATATGTAGCAAATCTCATTTAAATGATGAGTTAAATTTATTGATTAAAGTGATGACGAGTTAAATTTATTGATTAAAGTGTTAATTGAGAATGGATACAACAAAAAAAAGAGCCTAAAATTGCTTACAAGATTCTAAAACAAAAAAAAATCCAATCAAATTCTTTTACCATTTCTACAACTTTTTACTACGGCTACCAATAATCTCCTAGACTTAAGAAAAGTGTTAAAGACAGAATAATTATTAAATCAAATTCCTATTTAAAAAACCCTATTAACATTAGGAAAAAAGTCAGAACTACTCTAATTAATGGTGATATTAATTTGGGCAATGAACAGTATGTCAAAACAAACCTTTTGGTCTTTAAATGTTTATGTAAAAATAGCCATAGCTAATGTCAATGTTTAATTTTAACTTTTGTTGCACTTTACCAGTCATGACTATATTATATACTTATAATAATGGTAACAAAAATTCAGAGAAAATTTCAAACTTTTTTGTGTTTCCCGCAAATAATTTTGTGAGCGCCTCAAAAAATGCCAAAAAAAATAAATACAATAATTAGTGGTGTACAGGCCTACTTTTAGTTGGTTGCTAGGAAGGACGACTGAATGTAACTGTTTACCTAATGTTAGTTACCACCAAAATTTTGAGTCGAGTCTATCTTCTTTTTTAATTTTCCACATTACAGGTTGCATTTATTTAAATGCTTGTATAAAAAAACACTTTTTTAACCACAATAAGTCTTGAGAAAAAAAAACATTTTACAAATATTTGTAAACACTTTATTTTATGTGTTTTAATAATAAGAATTTTACTACTTACATAATCATCTATTTTTTTTTACAGTATAATATAAAAATACTAAATTTTTTTTTTACAAAAGTAAGAACAAGCAATAACTAAATTCAAAAATTGTTTTCATAATCATCATCTTTTATTTAAGCTCTAATGTCATCATTGCTATTTAAAAAGTTTTGGATTTGCTTTGGCTTTGCAACTGATACGACAGGAGTTTTGTTGTCATAATAGCCAGTGCTTAATAGCTTTTGTTGGATCATATGCTTTCATTTCTTGACAATCAATCTTGATGCATAATTTGCATTGTTAATAGTTAGTTGCCTACTTGTTTTCTTTTTATTGTATAAAAGTTTTTTATTACACTGAAACCTCTTTCAGCGTCAGCAAACATAAACTATGGCACAAATAAAAAATCAATTAGAGAAAACAGGTTAGCAAATCCATCTGATTGATATTTATCAATATTTTTGCCTAAGATTATTGCTTGAACAATTTTAAACTTAAAACGGTCCACATTTTCTTTATTTTATTTAACAATATCTACTTTGATTGGCTATTTCCAAACTGTTTAGGAAGTATTTCGTTGTTTATAAAGGCTGTTATATTATTTTCTAGCATATTTATGTGTTACTATTTGTTGTTTTTAATCATAAAAAAATGTCTGCCCATTCATCTGTATATAGCAATTTTTCTGCTTCTGCAAACACATTTGGTACATTTGAGCATTGTTTCAAAATACACTTCTTCATGGATTACAAACTCAAGCTTCATTTAATATCAATTTGTTTTAACTTACAATCTCATACAACAAGCGCTTCTTCCAGTAAAAACTAAACTTTATGCATTGAACCATTTTTTTTGTTGTGTTGCCTGTAAATAAAAATGTAATCAAAATTATTTTTGATACTTATGAAATTGTAGCGGATGTGTAAAGAAAAAATATAAAAAGAGATAATAAAACAAAGTGGGTCTTGTAAAAAATATATAATATAAAAAAGCAACAAATGTTTAAAATAAAAATGGGTTAAATCAAATTTTTCAAATATATTTTTTAATTGTGGAGTGTGGTTTTTATATTTGCTTAAGGTTCAAATGAAATGATTGCAAAATGCAATAAAAACTCAATAGTATTAAATGATTTCATGATCAATATGATTTATATTGATCTTAAAATTATCATCTAAAATCTGATTATAAACCATATTTTTATTATCAAAAATTATGATTTCAACTTTCATATTTTAATTCATTTGATAAATCATCAGATACAACTAGTGAAATAAAGCATACAGTGCAATGTAATATTAAAAATGAAACAACCACAAATCACAATAGTCTAAAGGAATTAAATGGTTAATAAATATTTTAAATTAAAAAAATTGCAACTAGTTTTTTATAAATTTTATACTTTATATAAATTTATATCTATTTTCTTATAAATCAATATTTTCTGATAAATTAAATAAAACTGTCTATTAACTCACTGGCACAGTTAATTAAAAAAAATTAAAAACAAAAATATATAAAAACTAATCTAAACCACTTATAGTTATTATTAAAAAAATCTCTATTAACATACTTAAAAATATACTATTTTTATAATCATATGATAAAT